GTGTGAATATTTGTGTAATTATATGAAAAATAAATGTAAAAGTGTAAATTACTGATTACGTACAACATCTGATGACCTTTGACTTTATTATTGACTAAATTCTACTGAGTTAACACAACTATTCAAACTGAGAGTAAACACAACTAAGTTTGAAGTCAAATTAACAAGTAGATATAAAGGAGTATTAGACATATTTACTTTTCAAGGCAATTTCCCTCATTTTTTAAAGTAAGATCAACTTGTCGGATTTTTACAGTGCATCACAAAATTGACTTTTAGTTTCTACCTCTAACATCCGACGATCAATAAAGACGAGATTGTCCTTGATGTCTGTGCACTGACGATCCTTTACCACCCATCGTCACGGGAGAAAACAGAAGAAGGGTCGCAGTGAAAATCTTTTAAAACTAAGGTGTGAGTTACAGTATTTTAGTTGCAGACATCTCCCATCATGCATCTGTTCTGCATTAGAGCCACTCTATGGTCTGACATTTCTCCAGCAGTGTAAAATAATACCTAATGGGCATATTGAGGCCTCACATTTTCCACCTCTCGAACAGCCCGAGCTCGGTTACACCTCTGCTCTTTTCAGGCGTCTGGGAGACAATGGAATGTGAAAGACAGTAAGTGGAGGTTTAAACTGCCTCATAACTGAAATGACCATAATATATCTGCAGGACACTGATATGGTTTGTATTCAATATCGGTGACTCTGCAATTAATTAGTCCAGGACTCCTACATAGCGTTCGCTTGAAATGTTTCCGTCCTGGGCAGGAAGCTTCCTGAAGCTTTGTTTAAAGGCGCATTCACTACGTCAAACGGTTTTATATTTAAATCTGATTTTTCCTCATCGAGCGAGTAAAATCACAGGTAGATGTTTGTCTTGTAAAATAGCAATAAACTCCTGCTTCAGCTGAGATATTTAAAAAAAAATGCTCGTCTTACTTTCGGTGACGTGGAAAATAAAACTTCATGGTGACCTTTGATTTTTTTTGTTTGCTGTCGTGGTGCAGCAGCAGCAGCAGCAGTCATTAGGCGCTGGTGGCTTCTGCTTGTTTTATTTGTGTACAGTGGCCGTGCAGCTTTCAGCGCACACAATCTGATCTGATGTCCCCAAATTACAGCTTTCTGCTACATCCAGCCGCCCCCTGCAAATCTCTCCGAGATAAAAACACACAAGTCTGTTTTCTGTGGCCTCTGCTGGACCCCTCAAGTTAACAAGTTTCTCCCCGGCAAAACTTTCACAGCGTCTGCTCGGGGTAATGGGGACGTGGGAGAGGGAAAGAGACACAGGGAGACTAAATGGAACCAAAGAAAAAGCAAGAAAGTGGCGGAAAGAAGATGCTATAGAAGAGGAGAGGGGGTCGCAAGGTTACGAGGAGAAGGAGACAGAGCAGAGGAGTGGAGCTCATTAATGAGTAATGGCTTCATGGCCCTTTGCCCTTGGACGCCGCGGCTCCTGATGACTTTGTTGTTACTCCAGTGCTGCAGATGTCAACATGAGCCCTTATGCAGACTCTGTGTCTTCCTGCCACTGTACAAAGATTTAGCCACACATCCCAGATATGAACGCTGCCATCTCACACATGGAGGTATCGAGATCCAAACTACCGGTGTTTTAAGAACCACCTCAAATGTCAGAATCCCTCTTTCCTAAAACGTTTATTGGACTTGCACAGGATTCTTTTTGATCCACGTGTTTGGCTTCACCTTTGAGGAGCTGTCACGTCGTCCATCTTTAAATGCGTCTTCGATCCAGATGTGGATCTGCTGTAGATCCAGAGGACGGGGTTGAGCACGAATACATGACTCAGCTGTATTGACCAGGAATCTTTAGACTTGAGACTTTTTTTTTTTGTTGTGGAATATTAGAGTTAGCATTTCATTTTATTTAAATCAAGCACAAGTTTCATCAGACGTAAGTGATTACACTTCATCCCTGTGTGTTCGAGGTTGTTGCTGCTTCTAGTTTGACACCAAAATCTTTCTTAAACTAATTTTAATCTTTATCTCACTTAGTGCACACACACACACACACACACACATATACACACACACACACACACACACACACACACACACACACACACACACACACACACACACACACACACACACACTCTGTCAGCCTCTTCAAACCTGTGGCCTGTGTCCAGAACTGCAGTGTTTGCGAGCCAGTACCTCCTGCTATCTCAGCCCAATTAGAAGCTCCCCTCCCTGGGCCGAGGGAAGTGGAAAGGGCCCCTCCCTCCCTCCCTCCCTCCCTCCATCTAGCCTGGTGGCTCTCATATTATGACAGCCTCTGACACTGGCCCTGTGTAATTACTGCTGTCTGAGGGAGCTCGACAGCACGGGGCAGGAGGAGAGAGAGAGAGAGGAGGAGGAGGAGGAGGGAAATGACAGAAGAAAACTGAGGAAGAGAAGTGATGAAAAGCCAAGTCGGCTTGGTGAGAAAGATGAATGATGAAAAAAAAAAGAAATGGAAGAGGAGAAGAGAGACCGGCAGAGAGAGTGTGTGGCAGGTTACCCCCTGTTGTGTTTGCTCTTACATGCAGGGTGTGTGTTTGTGAGCGAGCTGATAGCTGATGACAGTATCTTGTACCTGCAGAGTGGAGTCATGCTGCCGTCATTGTTGCCACTCAGCTGGAAACCGGAAAATTACTCAGATATAGAAGCCGCACCAATAATTCTCCTGGAGGTGATCCGAGACGTGATAATCAAAAAGTGGATTCACTGAAAGCCTCCAGATTATATGCGTCTCTCTTCTGTATTAACGCTTCATGTTTGGCGATATAACGTCTGACGCCACTGGAGCGAGTTATTCTCATACGGTGCAGTAAAAAGTGAGTCTGTGAGTGATTGACTTCAGCGGCAGAGATCGTTTGGATCTGACACATTTCCGGGGTGAATCCCGGTAACTTGAAAGAAGGCACGTCTGACTTTCTGCTGCTGTGGTGACTTTAATTTCTGGGGAGTAGTAGTAGTAGTAATAATAGTAGTAGTAATAGAAGTAGTAGCAGTAGTTCAGGTGATTTAGATTCACGTTGTTACGAGTACAGTGGGGCTGGTACTTTACAGAAAGTACAGGAACCTCATGCCCACTGTTGTGGTAGTGTAGTAAACTACTACTACTTGGCTGCTTGTGTGCGACATGAGTTTTCTCCCAGCCACTCTTCCTCTTCTTCCTCATCTTCCTGTTTAGTTTCCCAACCTCTCTCTGTTGTTCCATCTCTCGTCCACGCTCCTCTTGTTTTTCTCTCCCAGAAACAAGAACATTAAACAAACCCAGGAGCGAGGCTCACCTCCAGCATGTGATCGCACTGTTCGGAGAACGAAAGTGAGGGGTTGAGTGGAAGCTCGTAAACACAAGAAAAATAAACGGAGAGAGAAGAGTGGAGATAATCAGGCTAAATCATGTGCACTTATCTACTGTTGCTACGTTACAGCGAAACAAAATCACCTCTGGCCATTAGCTATAATCACCCTCATGCAGTGTGTCTTAATAATATGGACGGCTATTAGAGGCCAGGACAAAATAATTGACTCTAAAAAAGGGGAAGGATGAAATAAAGGGGGGGTTTAGTTTTTGGTGACATGCTCACACCACCGTGCATGTTGGGGCTAAAGCTGCTACACGTTTATTTATATACGACGTTAAATGATAATGTCCGAGATCACTGACCAGAGTTCAGTCACTTCAGCTTTTAATCAACTGACTTTGGGATAAAATGAGATTTTTTGATTTCCATCAGTTTACCATCGTAACGCTCGGCTGCTGCGTTTAATCACTTTTCATTCCACTAACATCTTCACATAGTTTCTGTGTTTTATTTCTTTTTCTCCAAAACCTTTTGTTGTCAAGTAAAAGCTCAAGACAGATGCTTTTGGGAAACGCAGCATGTGAAGTGTTAGTCTCAAATTATTTCATCCAAATAAAAAAATCCACCAACATCTAAGCTTCTGTCTTCAGCCTGAAAAGGTTTCAACCTCAGATCGAACGACTCTGCTGCAGTCGGGTGTTTATGAAACACGAGTCCTGTGTGGTCCGTCTTTCAGACTATCACATCTCTCAGAGTGCACCAACTCTGTAAACACACCTGCTGCTGTATCTTATCTCTATAAGAGCGGGTTACACACTGCTAAAGATAGCGGCCATGCTAACTGTGCTGGTCTGATCTGAGTGCACTGCTCTTGGATCTGCAGGAATGAGCACAGAAACAAACTCAGCGGTGTGAGTCGTTTTTTTCTGGTGGATTTACGGACATTTAATTAACGGTTTTAGTGGAAAACGATCGTTAACTAAACATATAAAATATAATCTAATTAGTTTAATCTCTTGAGCTCAGTGTTTGAAACATCCAGAAAGCATGAAGCAAAGATATATTTCAATTTAAAACAATGACATAAATGTTCAGCAGTTTTAAACCATGTTGACTTTGTTCTTATTTTTCTAAACTGTCAGTGACGAGTCAAATTCAAGGGGTCTTCAGCAAACATTCATGAAAAAGTGATATTTTCCATTGGTTGGAGGCAGCTCGCGTTAAAACAGTGTTTGTCCCATAAACCAAGCCTCATCAAAACAATATTTGTTATAAATCTGTGTTGTACAAAATGTTTACTGCTGATGTTATAGTTTCCATTAAGCTGGAGCTCAACCGAGGCCAAATGAACTGAAGTAAAATGAAGAGACTGAATCAAACCAAACCAAATCGTGCGTGTTCGCTCTTTCCCGATGTTTTTAGTCAGAAGTCGTGACGGTTGGTAATGATGGTGTCCTCAGGATGTTTTTGGATGATACATCTGTGACCACTGACAGAAGACAAGTCGGAATTATCTCAGCTTGTCAGCAAAATGTAAAAATGTCTCACGTTGAGAAGTGAAACCAACGACGGGAGCTGTGATGTTCGTGGTCCGGACCCCAGCCAGACAGTTACTGCTCAGATCTGTGGGTAAATGTAACTTTAGGCCTGTTGTATTTTTCTGCTATCTGACCCCACAGACGACCACACCAGAGTCCGCCTGCAGCTGCTGGAGGGAGACCCCCACTCCGACTACATCAACGCCAATTACATCGACGTGAGTCTACGCACACATTCGTAATCGTAAGCTTGTGATAGACGCTAGACCCTAACCATCATCACCTCATGCCCTCCACCCTTATTCTAAATTCAACATGAACCCAAACAACAAATCTCTGACAGAGGTGAGAACCAGAAAACATGCAAAACGCCTCATCAGTGTTTTTCCCCCGTCCACGGCGTTAACTTTCCGATTTCATCTCTCACCCACTTAATGAATTTGGTGCAAAATATTTATTTGGAATCAAACAACCGCACATCCCCCTCAGCGAAGGTGACGCCCTGCGTACAGCGCGGTCTTAATGACAATGTGAAAGTGATGAATGTTTTCATCTGCAAGGTTACATCTCTCATTGCTTTTCATGGAGGCAAAATTAAGATTCCTCCCGTCATTTGATTTTGTGTTTATTTGGAAAAGGACCTTGAGTTATGCTCCTCGGAAGAGTGGACGAATCAAAAGAGGCGAAAATAGGAATAGAGCAAATAAAGACACATTAAATAAAATAGAGGGAATGAGAGGAAAATGGAGAGTGAAGAAAAAGATGGAGGTCGGTGACTAAGATTTTTTTTTTTTCTGTCTCGCAGGGGTACCACAGACCCAGACATTACATCGCCACACAAGGTAATTAAAGTGACGTGATGAGTGTGTGTGGCAAGACTGTGTGTGTGTGAATCCACATTTGTGCAGGTCCAAACGTGTATGTATAAGTGTGTGTGTGTGTGTGTGTGTGTGTGTGTGTGTGTGTGTGTGTGTGTGTGTGTGTGTGTGTAGCAGCCACCTGGTAAATGTCGTCCTTTTGGGCTGCAAGGCTATTAACACAAGCTCCTAAATCGAAACCTTCCTATAAAATCCCTGTGACAAATTTAAGACCCCATTACCTCAAACCCACGAACCCCTATCTGGGGTTGATAGCGTGTGAGTGAATGTGTGTGTATGAGAGAGCGTGCGTGTGTGTGTGTGTGTGTGTGTGTGTGTGTGTGTGTGTGTGTGCGAGTCTGCATGTATGTTGTATGTGTGTGTTTGTGTAAGTCAGTGCCAGTGCATTTTTACATGATGTCAAAGTGAATGAGTTTGTGTGTGTCAGTATGTTTATACCTCTAATTCCTTTGTGTGTGTGTGTGTGTGTGTGTGTGTGTGTGTGTGTGTGTCCATCAGGGCCCATGCAGGAGACGGTGAGGGATTTCTGGAGGATGGTCTGGCAGGAAAACTCGGCCTCCATCGTCATGGTTACCAACCTTGTGGAAGTGGGCAGGGTGAGATCATCATCCAAGGGATTACCGTGTGTGTGTGTGTGTGTGTGTGTGTGTGTGTGTGTGTGTGTGTGTGTGTGTGTGTGTTTGATGTAGAGGCCCCACACCTGTAGAGGTAGCGGATTAGGAAAATCAATAATTCAAGTTATGAGGGTTTTATTGTGTTTTAAGAATTGTAATTACATTTACAGTCTAATCCAAACCAACGGAACTCAGTTCATAAACATTAAAGAAGTCGCACTAATAAAGTTAATTACGTTTTAAATCCTGCTTTGCCTTTTGGCCGCAAACACGCCCCATGGTCTCCGGTGTTGAACATGAAGACAGATTTAGTTTTTGTTATTTGAACAAATGTCAAACCTAGTGGGGGTTTTTTTTTCTGGAAGACGAAAAACAACTTGAACACCAAAGAATCTGTGAAGCAATTATCAGATGTTTACACCATTCCACTGCCACAGTGAGGGCAGCAGTGAATCCAACAGGTAACATATAATTGGTTAAAAAAAAAAGAAAAAGAAAGAAAACATCATAGAGTCATTATTACGACACTCAGTCATTTCAAATCAATATCCTACAAATGTCAAATAATCAAATCTGTGCTAAGTAGCTATTTGTCATGCGGAAGGGGCAAAACACCCCGTGATATTATTCATCTGTTCTATTAATCATGGCGATCATCTTGACCTGCACCTCTTCTGGAAATGAAGCAGATATTTAAATTCAAACTACGACTGCAAATTGTCTGTTGCAGGTGAAGTGCGTGCGTTACTGGCCCGACGAGACGGAGGTGTACGGAGACATCAAGGTGACCCTGATAGAAACGGAACCACTGGCAGAATATGTCATACGGACATTCACCGTCCAGAAGGTAAAAAAAAGATCCACACAGAAGCTGAATTTTTAATGTGCGCCTCCGTCATAAAGGGGCTCTGAACCCAACGTATCAGGGGGATTCGTACAATTGGAAGAGAAACACAGAAATATATAAATGTAAAGATTTGTTTCCTCACATCAGAACAGAATCATTCATTTGATGTCTTTGTCAAAGTGTTTCCACAGGATTTGAACATGGCACCCGCATGTTTTATCAATAGGGGTCTATTCCCATCAGACCTCATATAGGATTTGAACCCCTTCATGTTCTCGAGCGGCTCAGTTTCTCTCATTGTTGCTCGTAACTTATTCGCTTTCTTTCTTTTTGAAATCCCGAAACCTGGATTACCATTATAGCCGACGTGTGATTGGGGATTTGATGCCAGCGAGCGTTGTTATTTGTTTGTTTCTCGCTGTTTAAGAGGACGCTTGAAAAACGTAATTGTGGCCCTTGTAATCAGGCAGGGGGGATTTGAGAGGAGAAAAGATGAGTGAAAGCAGAAAATGTGCCGTCGTTGTTGGGAGGCAGTTTTCCGAGGCTCTTTACAGTGAATGGAGCGTAAACACTTCACAACAAGAAAACAGGGCTCAGATCCAAATCCTTGATTTTCAAACAGTTCTATGTTGTTTTCAGTCTCTTTTCTTCACGATCGCTTTTCCCCACCATGGCACATCCATTGTTTCTTATTTCCCCTCATACGACTTTCAACTACTGTCTTTTTTGCTTAAGATAATTCATTTCATTCATTTTAATTTACGTGTCTGTTTTACAAAAAAAAAAACAGATGGAGTCAGCCATTTTGTTCAGAGTCCCTCCTTTTCCCAGTAGAAGCTTCAACTGTAAAACCACAAACAACAACACATTCAGTATCTACAACGACACAAAGCACACCAACAATAAAACCCGACGCCTCGACCATTGTAATCAATCATTTTATTTCCACACACCTGTGATGCGTCATCTCTCCTTCCTGCTGTCTTCGGTTTTTCTCTCTGTACCTCTGTGTGTCTCTCTGCTTCTTCTCCAATCCTGTATTTCCTTTTCCCCTTTCACTCGAGTGAAAGCAGCTTATGAAGACGAGTCTCCGAGTCCTCGCTGTCAGCTCATTTAGCAAGTTATTAATCCATACCACCTCTGAGAGTGTGTGTGTGTGTGTGTGTGTGTGTGTGTGTGTGTGTGTGCAAGCACTCAAAAATTCAAAGGAAAGCTGCTTTTGAAATGCCTGTCATTCTGCTGTATGTATAAGTAGAAATACACACCACACACACACACTAATACAAAATCCACTATCTTTAAACTACAGTAGGTTTTTCAGACTGTATGTGTGTGTGTGTGTGAGAGAGAATCCAGGTTCTGCACCACAGTTAAATGGCTTTAATTGCAGTGAACAGTGAGAACAGGGTCTTAATGAAAAGGTTTTTTAATGACACGTCCAAGGAGATTAACTCTGAGGATGACGGTGGCGAGTGCAAGTGTGTGGAGATAATCACTAAACCAGAGCAGAGCCACCCGACGGACACGAGCACAGGAAACAGAAACCCCGGCCCGAAGGGTCAGAGGCTTGCCTGAAGAATTTGTACGAACCCTAGTTTCACAGCGTTTCTGTCAACAAACAGGCCTCAGACCGTCCAATGGCCCACATCCAGAGCTGCAGAACATAATCTGGTGCGTGGCACACAGATCTGGAGACAGCAAACAATGGCAAACAGAATCACAGCGGAGACCAGACTGAGCCGGACCGGACGCAGCAGTGCACACGGTCCACGGGCCAACGCGCTCGGCTCTGAGGACCAGCACACACATATCACACAGATACGACAGATGGTCTGAGAGAGCTGCTAAACAGGCTGTCGACTGTACGTGCAACCATAGGAACTCCCGGTGTCGTCTATCGTTGGCCACGTTAAAAGTGACTCCAGAGGTTGGTTTGTCCTGCTGCGGTGCGTTATTTCCTCATGGGGTATTATTTTTTAACAAAAATCTAACTGGAGGAGTTTTTCCATTAATATGTGATTGATTTTTTTTTTTTCTGGAAAATGACAAATATGGGCTTTTCATAGACAAATGGTTTTACACGTCGATGGCTGAGTAGCGGTTGTTCAGACGTTTTGTAACTAAACTTTCAAAAGTCTTTAAAAATCAAACTTTATTTTTTTTTTTATAAACCTAATCGAGGAGTTTTTGTGCCAAAGCCAGACTACTCCATCAACCATTATAGTCTTTATTATCCTGTTATCCATTATATTGCCTTTAGTCATAGTTTTCTGATTATTGAAGCCACTTGTTCCAACATGTCTTTTTACTGAATTTTGTACTCTCAGTTATTTCTTGAGTATTAGTTTTTATCCCCCATCCGTTCCTATCTTGAACTTTGTCACCGTCGTTCTCAATGTTTTGAGTCTTTAAAGTTAACATCCTATTTATGTCATTTGTACAATCTTGGAATCCCATTTAAGCATCTGATGGAAAACATGGAAACACATACTGAAAAAAAAAATCCTACAAAAGAGCCCATATGTAACTGTGAGGCCCCGGTGTCAATACCATCCAATCACAGGTTGAAGGCCATATCTTCAGTATTGGTGCTGTCCAAGAGAGAACGGTGTTCCTAATAAAGTGCTCGAGGAATCATCTAAGAGGTTATTGCTGTGTGTATAATTTTTTTATTTACAGCAGCTTTACCGCTGAAAGGCTCATTTTCTAGACTTGGTTACTTGTAATAGAACCGAGGAGCACGTTTGTCCTGCTCTTAACTTTAATACCAAAGTCTATGCATTTTGAGAACGAAGATTCTCTGCAGAACAATGAGATATTCTGTTTGTCATTCAACCGTTGCAAATTCGTCTTAATGGGAAATTTAAAATCTAAAGAGAATCGTAAAAAATTCTGCAGAGCTCATATTTTCTCTTGCATTTTTATTCCCACATCCTCATCATCTATTTTCAACACGTCACGCTCCTTAAAGCTGTTGATGCTTTTATGTTTTTTAAACCAACCCGTCATTGATTGGAGGCCTTGGCTGTGCTGGACCGCCGTCTATCGATTTACAGAAGTAATTTCAACATCACAAGAGAGCAAATCAATGCAAAGTCGAGTTATCAAATCACCTCGTGGTTTTCTGGGTTTTATTTTTCTCCCGTCTGCTTCCCTGCCTCCCTGTCTCTCTTTGTCTGTCTCTGTATCTTCATCCTTACCCACGACACCACTTTTCCTCCGTCTCAGTTTACCTCTCATCTCTTTACGTCTCGGTTTCTTGACCTCTACCTCCGACTTTCTCGCGTCTGTGTTACACCTGCTTCTCAAGTGATCAGAAAGAAACTCAGCCAAAGCAAACAATTCACCGCATCCTTGTCTACACCCGAAGAGAACGGGGGGGCGCTCTGAAAAGAACAATTTCCTCTCGGTTCTATTCTGGGAGAGTAAACTGAACTGAGGAGGATGCGGCTCCCTCCGTTTAAGATCTGTTTAGCTTCCAACAGTATACGGCGATCCACCGGTTTGAATTATTAAAAACAGGGGCCTGTGGTGCTGCGGAGAATGGAGCTGCTGGAAGCTGAAGAAAGGGTCATACATATCTAATGCCGCATTTTGGAGCTGTCAAAAAGTTGGGAAACTTATATATACGTCCCGTGAGGAGAGATGTGGCTGGATGCCCCGAGACGCACGTCAGAATTCAGAGTGTCAAGGCTTCTGGAGTGTAGTTGCCTGTCTTCTGCAAGGTGGCACGCTCTGTCAGAGTTACACCGTTAAAGCCCACATGTCTGGAATTGACAGAACACGCGGAGCTGTCCCAGAAACCTTATTGACAGTGTGTGATGTCCTGGAGTTATGGGCAGGTTGGAGCAGCAGAGACTCAACATCTCTTCTTTTAGATGCTTCAACAATCCATTACAGATACACATCATCATATCTCGTCCCCAGCGTCGAACGAATGTCCCCATTGTTAAACAGTAAAGTATTTACCAGCTCTTTGTGTTTCTAGAAAGTCCATCATTAAAATGTCAAGACACTGTCACATGGGGAGCCACAACAGAAGCCTATTGACATTTCATTTTCCTGTCGTCTCGTCTTGTTATGTACTCAAATGTCTCTTTCCATATCTCTGAGCAAATTGCAAATCCAATTTATTTGTAATCTCAGTCTTTTTTAAAACCCCTGAAATCAAAGTGTTTTAAAACGATTCTCAGAATATTCAATGTCATAGTTAGTAATAAAACATAATTCTGTGTTTCTTTGAGCACTTGCGATATTTTAGTTCTCGAAGAAAGGAGCCAAATTCTCTCCTTTTTAAATCAGGCAGCTGAACCGAACCGTGACATTTCCCTCCTTAAAGAGCCGTCGTGAGATCTGTGAAATCGCTTCATCTTTTTATGGTGGAGTGAGAATGTCCATCAGCTTCTTCAGATTTCCCTGTAAATTAGGCAAATGAGCCTCTTATTCCCAGAAGTGGCATCTCCACGTCCATGAGATCGATTTATTCTCCGTATGAAGCCAAGGTTCCTGAAACCCCTGCTGTAAATTAGGCTGCTGCACTATTATATGTCTTCTTGTCAGTCTTCCCCCACAAGAGCCATGATGAGATTTTTTGCGAGTTCCGTGCATTCATCATGAGACAAAATGGCTGCAACTTTTCATGAAGAGACTTAATCTTCTCCTGCGTAAAATATCCAACTGTGTGTGTGTGTGTGTGTGTGTGTGTTTTTCCAGAAGGGTCATCACGAGATCCGTGAACTCCGTCAGTTTCACTTCACCAGCTGGCCTGACCACGGCGTTCCCTGTTACGCCACCGGGCTGCTGGGCTTCATACGACAGGTGAAGTTCCTCAACCCACCGGACGCCGGGCCCATAGTGGCTCACTGCAGGTGAGAGCACAGACGCACAGCTACAGGTGCGCTTCGGCAGATGAACTTTAACTCCCTGATGCTGCTGGTCAGTGGCAGCACAGACGAGGACAAACAAACACAGCGTCTCACTCAGTTGTGCGGAGTCCAGCAGCACAGCTCCGAGTCTCACAGGGACAGAGTGTAACACAAACAATGAAAGCAGGCCCATGTGTTCTTTTGGTTTGTGAATGAAAACAGGTTCTACCTCAGGTTTTCAGTGTTTTTTATTTTGATTTATTTCAAGCATACGACCAAAACATATTAGAATTCAGGAAAGCTGCAGTTTTATTCCATCTGCGTTTTTTAAATCTGTTTAATTCTTTGTTTTGTTGTTTCTTCAGGTCACTTTTTATTGTATTTACATACGAGTGCACACACACACACAGCACCGTGATCACCAGCAATTATACTCAACATGTCGTGTGTTGTTATGTTTTGTTGTTATTATGCTAATTGGAACTACTTTTGCACTTTGGCCCATGAGAGATTACTCGTTCAGGTGTGTACTTTGTTTGAGGATACGTTTATTTGAATTACACTTAAACAAGATTAACTCTTCACGTCATATTCTAACCACCCGTCATCCTGTCCACACACACTTATCGTTCTTTTGCATAAACTATGTCACAGTACAGGTGTAAAACCCCTCCTCCTCCATGTTGGCAGACGGTAAATGGACCAAACTACAACAATGTTTGGACTTTGATAACGAAGCTCAACCTCATGACCACTACTGCAAAACACTGACCGATCCAGAACCTCAATCATAAAAGTCTCCATTTAACCATGATCGGAACCAAAACCTTCTCAAACCAGAATTTCACTTTAGTGCACAAACAAATGTATTATTATTATTATTATTATTATTATTGATTCCCCATTTTATTCTTCTATAATTTATGACATTTTAACTTTAGAATAAATCAGATGAGAATTCAATTTGTTTTATTCAATAATAAAACTATCATATATATTGAATAGTTCTAAACCTGCAAATCATTTTTTTTTCTTCTCCTCCTCTATTCTCCGCTCCCCCGCTCCTCCTCCAATAAAACCAGTTATCAGGTTATCAGTATCAATAAGATCACACACACACACACACACACACGCATGCACAAACCAATCTCCCTCGTCTGTAAATTAGATCAGTGGTGTTAACCTTTACAAAAAGTGCACATCAGAGAAAAAAGAGAAAAGAAATTCACCCCCCCGCCTGCTTTTATCCCACCACCGCCATCATCATCCGGAACGGAGGAAGAAAAGAGAAATGACAGTTTGAAGATCCCCATGGCGGCGATATATTTAACCTGCGTGTTCGGTTCTTTATGGGACATAACGGTTCAGCTATGGGGCCAGGTTGTCAGCGGGCTCAAGCTTTAAAAGGTCAGCACCCTGACAAGCTATGAAAAAAAAGGTTAGGAGCAGATCGCTCATATTGCCACAGGCATTTTAATTTAATGTATTCCATTTGGTGGTGCACCTCACTGCAACAAATACCTCTAAGTGGCCAGAGAGGGAATTAAACCATTAACCCGGCCGTGGTTAGAGCGATTAAGACGATCTATATTCACAAACGCATGTTAAGTTGAACAGTTTACGACTTTTCCTTTTTACCTTTACATATTTTTTGTTCTGCAGATTAAGTTCCATGTATATATATTCTTCAGACAACGCATTGTATTGTTTATTAAATACCCATCCGGTGAAGTTAGAACACAATTCAATGTTTCTTTAAATGTCCTGTTTTATTGGAGATAAACTTTTTAACGGATCTACAGTTCAGCTGAAGTCAGTTCCTCACTTCTCACAGGAGATCGTACCCGCTCATCAGAGTTACACGGGGCAGACGTTCAGGGTGAAGAGTGGGAATGAAAGAGGAAACATTCTCCATATTCGCACTCACGCAAACATCAAACTCATTCTGAAGCTGACATTTTTTAAAAAGGTCATTTTAAATGTTTGTGGCAACAGTTTAGTGAGTTTTGTATTGAAGGTCTAGTTTTCAGTTTTCAGAGCCTCACACAAGCACATGAATGCACCAACACACAGGAGTTTAACATCATATATTGCTTTGACCATAAATACATCAGAGAAGTTGTATCCCCTAATATTGCCATTGTCACTAATATGGAAACAAGAACATGGGCTTGTGGTTTGTCTGGTGCCTCCACCGGGACCCGGATGACCTTTCCAGAAACAACTTGTATGTGTGTGTTCTCTGATCTGTTGAATTAAACCGACTGTCGAAATGTAATCACCCACTCGGCTTGCAACTGAGAAGTTTCTACATTTGTTTGTATTTTTTGTTCAGACTGACGGAATAATAGAAAATAATTTATTTTATTAAAAATCTAATTCAGAACAACTTTATTTGTCCCCAGAATCTAAGGCAGATAGAACGAATCAAAACACGAGTGAAACCAAGACCCTGACAGTTAAACATCAGTAGAATTATAAAGTGAGAGACGTGTGTATTATGAATGGAAAAGGACGGGCTGTGAAAACTGATTGTAAGAACTTTATACTTTTCGAAGCAAAAGAATCAAGGCAGCTTATTCATCACGGAGGATTTATAGAAAACAGCCCGGACGGAAGCGACAGGGACAGAGGCAGAGCGGCCGTTTGATGGAAAGAGAAGTTTACTCTCAGACACACAACGGACGGACAAACACGACGAGCTGCGACGTAAACAGTGTGTGGACAGACAGGCGGGGACTTATGGCCATCACTTCCAATTTCCAGGGGCACTCTGATGCTATTGGCCTGTGTCATGAGGCTTTAAGAACACACACCTACGCACATGCACACACACAGAGGCCCGGCAGTATTCTGCTCTCAACATTAATCACAGGGGTTGACAGGTAATCTGCAGAGGCGCTCCCTCCTTTCCTCTCTCTTTCTCCTCTCCATCGTTCCTTCTCTCTCACCTCTTATCTCTCTCTTCTCTCCCCTGCTCTCTCTCGCCCTCTTTCCAGCTGTCTATGGGGGGACTGTCAGGGGGGATTGCAAAGTGAAAGATAGGTCTCTCTCCTCCCTCTCCTCATCCCTCCATACCTCATCCTCTCAGCTCTCCCGCTCCATCCCTCTATCTGCACCTCCTTCCCTCCCTCGATTGCTCCCCGGTGACAACCACTTCTTTGACTCCCAATCGTCAACCTCCTCCCACCGCTCTTTCAATCCATCCATCCATCCATCTGTCCCTCCATCCGTCTTTTCCCTCAGGGAATTACATTTCAGGATGTGTCGCCTTAACACCTGACATGGGGTATTAAACTGTGTGTGTGTGTGTGTGAAGTAGAGAGTTCACACTCATATAACCTCATATATGTACGATTTTTTAGAAAAATCCTCATTGATCGTCTGTTTAAACGCTGAAAACACGTTTGAATCGTCCTGACCTTCAGTGAGAAATTATTATTAACATGTGTTTTCAGTTATAAAACAATCGCTCAGATCGTCATTAGTTGCATTATTGCAGGAAACATACATTTCTCTTCGAAAGAACTGGTGGCGGTTTCAAAGCTACGCTATATGTTTCATTACCACATACGTGACCTGTGTGAATGTGATGAAGTGGTTGTGTCTCTGTGTCTGCAGTGCCGGCGCAGGGAGGACGGGCTGCTTCATTGCAGTGGACATCATGTTGGACATGGCGGAGAACGAAGGCGTGGTGGACATTTTCAACTGCATCCGAGAGCTGAGATCACAGCGAGTCAACATGGTGCAGACGGAGGTGGGTGTGAAGACGCACAATAGATCCCACACGTAAGAGCCCGTAGATCAGAGCTGTCGGCTGACCCGGTGCAGACGGAGGGGAGGGTGCATGAACACAGACACACAAAGACGATTTTATCAGACAATCATACCTTTGTAGGAGCAATGAAAATGTTTCCACCTCCACATCTTTTTATATTTATGTGGTAATTATGCTCCGTTTGTCTTGTGAGCTCATGCTACAGTCTGTGTCTGTATTTAATGTTAGAGAAGCCGGAGAGAAGAACATAGAGTCACACATTTACACAAACACACAATATTGTGAGACACAGACACACAAACCTACACAGTAAGTTTGTCGTTTGAAAATAGTTGTTTAAACTTAGCACCAGCAGAAATAACTTTCAATATTAACCCTTCTTACCTTTCTTCAAGTGGTTTTATTCATTTTAAGTTCTTTATTTGAAGTAACTAGTGTTGATGCAATGACTCAGCTACTATTCCTATCACTAGTTTAAGCAGTAAACCAATCTGCACCAGGCTGAGTCATGACTTAGTTCACCGCTTGATTACTTGATTTTCATTTTGTGTGAAGCTGTATCCTAAACAGTTTCTATCATTTTGTCCACCTAGGACTCAGGTAACTAACTGTCCTTTACACAGTCTCATCATTTGTTCTTATCCTGCACTTTCAATCAGTTTCATATAGTCTGTGTCTTCAAACGTTTCATTTCGGAACAGCGGTATTCATTTCGTCTCCAGCTACCTTAAGCCGACTTAATCCATCCCGCCTCTGCGTTCCATTTATCCCACTGATGAAAACCTTTCATATCCTAAAAGTCAACTTCACCAGGAATAAACAGCCTCATTTTCAGGCTCACAGCTCGAGCCTGCAGCCCGGGGCTGGAATTGACTTGTGAATGGGTTTCAGAAGAGCCGGGTTCAGAAAAGTTACCCAGGGCGACACTGAGTGTTTTTATATGACAGCACTGATATGAAAGCTACTTCAGTGTGTGTGTGTCTGTGTGCACACACTTACACGTGTGTTTTATGCCTCTTGAAACTAAGCTAAATGCATCGTAACCTCCCTTTTGAATATGTGTGGGAGCAATTTGTGTCAGCGCTGAAGCTGCTTGAAGCTATTATAATCCTGCAGCACACAACGCCGAGCAATTAATCTTTTCAAAGGAACAGGGAAGAAGTGTGTGTGTGTGTGTGTTTGTGTGTCACTACAGTAGGTAACCGTCACAAAAGATCATTCCTGTGATGCTTTTAAAACTCTCCTCTCAATAGCTAACATTCAACAGAGATACAGACAGAGAGATGAAGCAGCAAACACGAGTGTGAGAGGGGACAGTCAAAAAGAACCGTGAGGCAGAGAAAGAGAAGCTCGATGAAATGAGAGGGAGGTAAATTAACATGCACAGTGGCGGCTGCAGCTCTTGTTGGCTGATGCTTTTACCAGGGAGCTCGGTGGTCGGAGCACAAAGAGCACATTTGATCCAGAGCAACAGAAACACTGCAGGGCAAAGCACTTCTTTAATTCACTCTGAGGCTGCTGAGAGAGCACGAGTGTGCAAAGCAAACGGAAACTGTGCTCACAGTGCCATGTTCGAGTTTGTCAGACGATGCCGAGCGCAGCCACGTCCCAGAGGTGTCAGAGCCTCACAGTGAGGAACAACAGTCGAGTCTCGGGTTCTCGTGCAAGTTCGAGGCTCAACCTGTGTTTACGTAAAAAAAATAAGCCGGAGAGATGTGTGGTTTTCTGACTCCTCTGTGATGCTCTGCAGGAGCAGTATGTGTTTGTTCACGACGCCATCTTGGAGGCGTGTCTATGTGGGAACACAGCCATACCAGTGTGTGAGTTCAGAGCCATTTACTACAACATCAGCAGACTGGACCCACAGACCAACTCCAGCCAGATTAAAGACGAGTTCCAGGTGAGCACGGAAACACGTCATCGTCTTACATTTGTTTCCTGGAGACTCATTTGTTATTTAGAATCTTTTTTTAAACATCTTTTTGTTCCCAGAAGTCTGAGAAACATCAATGTGCAGGTCTTTGGCCCAAATAATTATCTTACTTAATCAGTAGCAGGGTTAATTGACTCGTTTTCCGTCTACCAGACTCTGAATATAGTGACCCCCAGAGTCCGTCCGGAGGACTGCAGCGTGGGTTTGCTACCCCGGAATCACGACAAGAACCGCAGCATGGACGTCCTGTCAGCGGACCGATGTCTGCCTTTCCTCATATCTGTGGACGGAGAGAGCTCCAATTACATCAATGCTGCATTAATGGATGTAAGTGCATCACGGAGGATGTTGATATGTTCAGTGTTTTTCTTCACTTCTCTCACGCTTGATGTTTTTCTTTTTCTCGTCCTTTTCTCAACACTCCAGAGCCACAAACAGCCGGCAGCCTTCATTGTTACCCAGCATCCTTTGCCAAACACCATGGGGGACTTCTGGAGGCTGGTGTTCGACTACAACTGCTCTTCCATTGTGATGCTCAATGAGATGGATGCAGCGCAGGTAAATAAATGTCTAGCTTGGTTTCAGGGAAAGACAATCGAACAGCCAGGTGGTTGAAACATCCCAAACATGAGATTACTTTAAGGGACATGTATTGAGGTCATTAGAATTGCTCCATAACAACTAAGACAGTTTAAGTTACAGTTTTGTACAATCGAATTGTAAAAACTGGTATCATTTCTCCTACTGTCGTACTTTTTGACAGGAAATTTATTGTAATGTAACCGTTGAACCATTTTTTCAAATCTTTCTCCGCCTGGTTCTTCAGCTGTGTATGCAGTACTGGCCAGAGAAGAGTTCGTGTTGCTACGGTCCCATTCAAGTGGAGTTCATATCAGCAGACATCGATGAAGACATCATCAACCGGATCTTCAGGATCTGCAACATGGCCAGGGTATGTACACGTCACCATCACCGACATCTACCCTCGTAAAAGGCAGATGTTGGCGATCCTTTGTCCTTAGGATTTGGACGGGGGTTGTGGTCGGAGATCATTTCTGTTCATTAGGGTTATTTCACACCATTATTATGTTGACAAAATCCTGCCAAAAGAGGAAATTATAGTTTCTTAGCATTTTATTATCCATAGAAGGGCAACAGACCTGCACACTTTCAAAGCCACAATAGTTTTGCATTCATTTTATTCATATTCCTCGAGAAAACATGATGTGATTTTGCAATTGTAGTTTTCCACACAAACAAAATGTATGTGGAGTGAAAACTTCTAGAGACCACCTGCAATACATCTGAGAGAAAAACAAAATGGTTTAAAGTTTCAGTCTTGACATATATTTGACAGATAACAACAGATACATCTCGGAACAGGATATAAAAACAGAGAAAATGCATTTTTCATCTTATGTGACCTTTACTTCCCTCAAAGCAACAGGCAAGATGAAAGCAGCTACATCACAAACTCAGTGTAGCAGCCAGGCTAACACAGAGTGCTGGTTTACTGGGTTCTCCACAGATGGTCGAATAACAAAGGAACAATTTGAAGATTCCTCTCCATTAGTCATCTTGTTCCTCATCTCTTCTTTTCCTCTTCCATTCTTTTCTCAACTCACCTCTCCCTTTGATCCCCCCCATCTCCCCTTCTCCCCTCATGCCTCCTCTTGTTACTACCTTCTCATCTCATTTTATCAGCCATCCATGACGGCACAACTCCAGCTCTGCCCTATTGTCTGCATGCTCCTATAGTGCCTAGTGAACTCCCCACTACCCTACTCTCTATTTTCTAGTGCTCTCCCTCTCAAACACATCAGCAGTCTAGCGTGAAATGGCTCATATCATCGCCACAACAGCACATCTCACACTGCGAGAGCAGCTCCAACCTCACCGAGTCGGTACCACCAACCACTAAGCCATCACATGAAGAAGGAGATAGTAAAAGAGTAAGGGGAGAGAGACGCTTTGAGGAAGAGAGTATATATACTATATATATTTATATAAAGTGTTGAGAGAGAGGGAAGGATTTGGAGGATGGATCTGTTTGTGTGTAAATGTTAGCGTGCATATGTGTGTCTGGCAAACCTAGTGGGAAATCGGTCTGACAGTGACGGCAGGTTTTGGTATTTCTGATGCTCGATGCCAAGCGCCTCGGGCCACACGGCTGAAAACATTTTGTCTGCCATGAAATTGAATTATACTTCACAAGATGTCGTCTTTGTTGAGTCCAATCCTGTTTCTTTTGAAACAACAATTTATGCAGAAAACAAGAAGTAATTAAAACACAAAGGCCTGTGAATAGTTGAAAAGTGTTTTATGTATCATGAGTCTATCACGACCAAATACCATTTTCCACTACTTACTAAAACTGTTTGATGTTTTCTGCGTCCAGAATCCCTCTGGGCTCACCACGAGGTTCCGACTTAACATTTACTTCTTCTTAAGATTGCACAAAGATTATATTACAAACCAAACTTCCTCTCAAACAATTGATCTTTGCTCGATTTAGACATTTTTGAACAGGAGGGATCAGTCGCTACAATCAGAGCGTCACAAAGAACATTTTAGACGTTTCCAAATTAAAACGTAGAAGTAATAAAATACCGATATGCTCGCCTTTCAATTGAGACAGAATCGTTTATCCTCCTCGTTATTTCTATCTTAATTTTGAGAAACAATAGCTCCAACACTCTGAGTGAAACTAAGAGAATGATGTGATGTTCTATTTTTTGGTTTTCCTGTTGTTTACCCACGTCTACATTCCCCATGAGGTGTCTGCATGATGTTGATTGTGGTGATGACAGCTACGGTGATAAAAACCCCTGATCTTCACACCTCTCTCCTCAGCCACAGGACGGTTACCGCCTGGTGCAGCACTTCCAGTTCATTGGCTGGCCGGCCTACAGGGACACGCCTCTCTCCAAGCGCTCTATCCTCCAGTTGGTCAGGAGGCTGGCGAAGTGGCAGGAGCAGTATGACGGAGGAGATGGGAGGACCGTGGTACACTGCCTGTGAGTTCACACAGAAAAACATGCACGCTGGAAAAATGGGATAAAACAGTGGAGAAAAAAAAGTGAAAGACTTTCATCCTCTCCCTACAGGAGCGCCCCAAGGCTTAGTGCTGGGGGCCCCTTCGTTTGTAATAGACAATGATTCCTTCCATGGTTTTCTTACACCACTACGTTGCACAGTGAAAACCTTAAAGAGGGTCCAGGATGTGATGGTTAGTCTGCTGGCTGCTAGAGTTTAATTCAATGAGACCTCTGGGTCTGTAACTGACTATTTGAATTCAATCATACGGGTTTATGATCCTTCTCAGCCACACGATCTGGTTCTGTCATCCTTCACACGAGGGGAACATAGTCCTTCTTGTTTGCGGTTCTTAGGGAGTGAAACGAGCTACAAGGGGCTGAAATTACTTAAATTACCTCCAACTCAAAAATGCCTCACTAGCACCTGATGTGCACTTTTGGTGAAACTTTGTTTTATTGAACAGATTCAGCACTTATTTATACTTCTAGTATTTACTTCAAGGTCCCCGACTGTACCGAGGCTCTAATCTTGTCCCTCAGTTTTCACTTTGGATAAAAGCATCTTCCAAACGAGTGAATGTTAATGCAGACAGTAAAAAAACGCTGCTCACCAGGATGATAAATCAACACGAGATCCAAGAAAGATTTTGAGATACTTAACAATGATGAAGTGCACTTTTCTCTGAAACAACACACACACACACACACTTTCAACAACTACACACATACTCCAAAAACCATACAACCACGTTTAAGATGATATATAGAATAAACGATATCACAGGATCCATTCATTTCTCTTTCTGTCAAACATACAAATGGCCTAAACTCAACATTCATCACACTCGTGTGGCGAACATACTCAGTACTTGTATAAATTATATATATAAATATTTATGATCATTAATACAAATGTTCTCGTTGCTAATTTATTTAACAACAATGTCAACTCGTGTGTAGAAGAAAACCTGAAATGTGTCTCATCCATGTTCACAACAACTATTTAACAAAAGTATTAAAAAGTCTTTCTGCGATAGTGTTGATATAACATCACACACTTAGACCTTCACAATTATTTACATCCTATCCAGTGTTGTTATTATATAAATGCCTGTTTGTTTTTTAGCAAATGAAGCTTTAATGCCGGAGGCTGTGAAATCTATATTCAAGAGATTACAGGGAAGCTCACTGACAATAACATAGACAAACACTCCCATGCACACACACTCCAAACATTGCCTTAAGCACATCACTGGTGCTCATCCAATCAGCTTCCTCTGTCACAGCTCATTAGTCCAATCAGAACTGGCATTGATCTGTTTCCTGTAGCTGCTGCGAAGCTCTGTTTGCTTTCAGTGGTTTTTTTTAGAGACAGTTTTGGTTAAAAAAGAAACTTTAAGAAGAAAATAATCTGAAATAAATTGATTATCGATTGTTTCCATGTTTAGATTTGTGTAGATTCCAGGTTTACTCTGGTAAGAAACCAGTTTCATTTTGTGCTTTTTAAAGTAAAGTTCTTTTTATATCTTTGTGCAAAATCAGCTATTAATCCGCATTTTGCCAACTGCTGAATCACAACAAAGTTAAATGTTAGAAAAGGTCATTTCTAAACATCTGCAGTCATTGAAAGAAACAGCTTGCGCCACTATCACTGCTGCTAACTCCATGAAATGTGGGATCTTAACTCAGCTATTGACCCTGATGTAAAGAATCAGTGGTTAAATGCCTGGTGTCGTGGTGTGGAGATAAAGATGGTGACACAGAGACAGTTCGCATCCCGTCATTTGACCCGTTACTTCAATCAATCCGCCGCTCGCGTCCATCGATTTCACAAGTTTAACTGTGCACACGAACTCGTCCATCATTTCAAATGAACTGAAATGCATTTGTTATATTACAATAAATAATAATAGTGTGAAATTTAGAGACAGGCAACAAAAATCATTTCTTTCATAAGTGCCATCTACCCGGGCTGTCAGGCTGGAGCCAGTCAATGTGAGTATCGGGGGGGGGGGGGTGAAAGCTTTTCTCTGCTTCTGGCTAAAGACGGCAGCTCTGGCTAATCAGCCCCAGCTATTGATTTCCCAGACTCAGTAATACAAGAGATAAGGAGAAACATGATGGTTCAATCAGTAGTTGGTGAAACTGATTATTTTTTTTCTGCTCTCCACTTGTCCGAGAGGTTGGAGTCTGATGGGTCTTTAAATGCTGAACACATGTCTCATTTTCAGCAAATCACACTGTGGGGACCTTGTGGAGAATTGAGAAGCAGAGCACTTAACACAGTTATCACTCTCTGCTTCTTTTATTTACACACACACTGTATAGAAATACACATTTTAGATGGAGGAGACAAACAAACATATTGAACCGTCTACTCACGACAGATTGCTCAAATGTCCGCAGCTTGTAAGCAGCTTAAATCGAGCGATGTGGTTCCGTGTATTAACCAAGGAGCATGGTTCTGTCAGGATCTTTAAAATTCAGTTCAGAAATTGTTGAGGTAAAAACAAACTGACTAGTCCTCGACTCACCGAATCATTTAGAATGAAACAAACGTGAGCTGCATTCAGGAAAACTTGCTTTAGTTGAGATCTTAATCTTACTTTTCGGTTTTGGTTTTCATACATAAGTTTCGTTTTTTAAAATCTTTAACTATTTTTTACCCGATAAAATGTTTTGTAGTGATCCTACTTCCCAAATTGGTGATTACTGGTGAAAACAGTGTTACGTGCAATAATTAGATCTACATCAAATGTATTCTTTAACTTCTATTTACTTTCTATTGCACTGATGCTTTATTTATATTTATATTTGTCTCACTCTGATATTTATTCATATAAAAACACGGTTTTCATAGCGGAGGGCAAAGAAAGACTTTCATCGCACAGGACTGTATGTATGACAATAAACACTTTGAACTTCAACTTTTTAAGACAAACTTTTTGAAAGATTTACACGAGAAAATATCGAGTCCGAAAATAAACGCTTTAGGCTTCATCTTGTAATCTGCTTGTGACAGCTTCTCCCACAGTAGCTGCTCGTTTTGATTGAAAGGTTTTGCTGACAGTCAGATTTTGATTTTAATTAGCGACCAAACATTTCTTGTACATCTCTAAAAAAACTAAATGTGAAAGTTACTCCTTTGCCTCGACCCTCATTACCACCAGAGTCTTGCCCACTCCTGATTTTATTGGGTTTGCTGGATGTTCTGCAGCAATTAGTTGTAAATTTTATGTATTTTAGCCCAAAGACGTTACTCACAGCTCTGATATAAAATGTATTAACTCACAATTAAAAAAAATTGAAGCGAGCACCTGAAACACAAAACTAATATAAAGTCAGAAAACAAGTAAATAATAAAAAATAGTCTCACATATTCACATCCCGGCTCCTGAGGGCTTGTTTCTAATGCCTGAGCAGATTTACACCTGAAGTGTGTTGTAATGAAAATGACTGGTTCCTTGCAGGTGTCACTATGTTAATGACGGAGCGACACTTCTTCAGAATGACACGTTTGCTCGACTGTTTATTCTGAAGCCTCTTCACAACTTTTGAAAGCATGAACTCATAGAGTTAATGAAAGTTAATGAAAACTGATGTTTTTTCATTTTAACGATCCTGTTTGGAGAACAACTCTTAATAGTCGTGGTTTTGCTAATGCAGAGCAGCAGCGGGCGATTCGTTTTTATATATTTTTTTTTTTTGGAACTGCTGCCACTCAGCATCTGAATGTTTTATTCAGAGTGAATAGTGGAGGAGTTGAGCTGGAACCAGGTGAGACGGGGGGGGGGGCCGGCTGGTCTGACTTTGACTGGCAGAGCGCTGACTGCTGATTGAGGCTCACCGCCAGTCAACACATTCATTTGTTTGCATCACTGCACATTTGTCCATTGCTGCAAGTTATCGTCTATTTAAAGTCTTTAACACGAGTCAAATTTAACTTTGAGAAATGTTTTCAAACGTCTGACGTCCATTAGTCGAGCTCTGACTCAGGTTTCTTTGTGCTGAACCTTCAACTTGTCACTTCTTGTCACTCTTTGTCTCGATTTGCCTTTTTCTGAACTTTAATAGTCGTTCTTGTTCTTTTAAATTCTCATAATGTCTCGAATTCAGCGTCTGGAACCTGAATGTGTTGTGTTTTGAAGCTTCTTGACTCTAAAGTTAGAGACGTGATTAGGTTTTGTGTATTGTTCTTTTTATACATTTTTATCCAAACTTTGTTTTACAAAATAAATAACAATAGATGTGTTGACAGTTAACACATTTACCATGAAGACAGAACTACTTCACATCCAGGAAAATCTCCCAGCTAAGATGAGAAACATTCTGATTTATTTTTCTCAAAATGTCAAAGAATAAACTTGAAAATCCGAAGTGAACATCACTGTGAAACACCCTGTCGACTGAAACGCAGTGTCTGTGTTTATCTGCTGACAAATAGCAAAGAAAACAACTGAATTGACAGATGAAGAAAAACACGATGTCGTTTTGAAAAGTCTTCAGCTTTCGTTCAAAAAACAAAGAAGAGAGGAGAAATCAAAAAGTCGGATCATTCTAAACTTGTCACGTTATTGCTTTGTCATGAACAAACGTGCGTATTTAAAGTTAATGTGCTTTTATCACCTTTTAAACTCAGATATCAGAGACATTTATTCACTCCTGATTGTTAATTAAAATACAGTTTGAGCGAATCTCTTCTCATCAATCTGAGAGACCAATAAACTGTGACGACCACATGCACGACCCACATTATATCACTGGACTCTGATGAACAGCACTAACTCCCTTTTTTAACGATTTAACAGATTGTTAAATGTGTCCGACGAAGACAAACAAACGTCTTCTCTGCTAAACTGTCCTGTTAAAATCACTTCAGAGTTTTACAGGTTGACACGAGGAGGAAAATTAGGAAAACGTTTCCAGGGTGAGAAAATAAAAACAAGTCCCTGACGAGGACAAGAGTGTAAATGTCTCTTCTCACTCTCTGACTTCTCAATGGTCGTTGTCCCTCTGTGATCAGGAAGCTTTGGCTTTCACACCTCAGTGTGCAGGAGGATGACGATGATGATGATGATGAGGATGATGATGATGATGATGATGATGATGATGATGATGATGATGATGATGATGATGATGTTAAATACTGAATACCTCCTGCCCCCCCCTCCCCTCAGTACCGGCGGAGGACGCTCTGGAACGTTCTGTGCCATCTGCAGCATCAACGAGATGATCCAGCAGCAGAACATCGTGGATGTTTTCCACACCGTCAAAACACTGAGGAACAACAAGACTAATATGGTGGAGACAATGGTGAACACACACACACACACACACACACACAGACACACAGACACACACACGCACTGTGTCGCTTGTTGATTTTTTTTCCAACATTCAATTAAACTCAGGGAAACTTACGACGAGTGTTTGAGATTTAAGAGACAGAAATTCTGAGATTACGAGAATAACGATGTCATTTAGAAAGAAAAAACACTTGTGATGTGAGAAAAAAGGTGAAATATTCATGTTTTTTGTTAAATATATTCTAAAGTAAGACTGAATAACTGAACTCTAATGTGAAGAGAAGAACGGACGTTCTGATATTCACCCTCTAACATCACACGTGGTCCAAATTTACATCATTCCCGTAATATTGCGACTTTGTTCTGATCATTTTACAATTTAAGTCTTGAAATGTCAGAATGTATTTTTCCTTGACCCTGATTTTTTCCTCTATGTTGAAAATATGTTGAAGTTTAAATGACGCTGCTAAACTTTGACTGATCTTCAGCTCTGCGTTCTGTGTGTCCGTCCTCAGGAGCAGTACAAGTTCTGCTATGAAGTGGCTCTGGAGGCGCTCAGCTCCTTCTGATTGGACGTCGTCGCTGCCTGTTCCCAACGTGCAGGGGACACACAAAGAGCAGAACTGCTGTGTGTTGACCCGAATCCCAACCTGTGAGCGTGTGTGCCTGTGTGTGTGTGTGTGTGTGTGT